ACCACCCTATCTGATCATAGCACCCTTACTTAGCTGGAAAGCTTCCCTTCAAACCTCAACACTCACTAAACCAGTTCTTAATTGCTACTGAGGCTTTTAAGAGCTGAACCTTTTGCAATTTGCTCCATCTACTAAACTCCTTCTAGCTTGTTTTCAATCCTTGGCTGTTGTGGATTCCAAGGTGAATCATTAATGATGCTCAGGCCAGCAATTAGACTCCACCCTATCTGACTTTTCAGCATAATACACACACACACACACACACACACACACACACACAATATATATATATATAACAGTACATCACACACAGCATGTACTTTATAAATATTTATTGAATAATAATAATGCATGCTTTAATGTAGGGATAGACTAGTGGAGACTTTCTTCACCACTGCAGATTACAATTTATAGTATTGAGAGAGTTTCCTGGAAGCACAAGAGATGAAATGATTTTTCCCAGGGTCAGCCTATGCTCACACACACACACACACACACACACACACACACACACACACACACCACAGTTGTCCCTTGTCATTCACTGTGGTTAGGGGTATAAGACCCCTGCAAAGGTGAAAAACCATGAATAACTCTAGGATCCACCAAACCTCCGTTTTTAATAATTCTGATATACTTGACATAGAAAACAAATAAAACAAACACTGCACCAATAAAAAGTTTCAGTTTCTACACGAGATAGCATCTTACACATAGAGTCTTCAAAGTATCCGGTGTAGCTGCAGCAATTTCTTCATGGCTTTTCTTTTATAAAAGCACAAGATACAACCATCACTGATGGAGAAATTCACATGACTGGGTCTGGATGGTAGAGAGACAAAAAGTTGGTGTCCCCAAAGAGAGTACTTGGTTTATAATTCTTTAGTGCACTGAAACTTTTGACAAAATTTAACTATTTATAACAAATTTATGTATAGATACTCATGGTAATAAAAGATGAAATATATTAATAATAAACAGCATTTATTCATTTATAGCTTATTTAATTTTCATTTTAGTTTCCTTTTGTATGCTGAAAATGTCAAAAAAATTCCCATTTAATTATCTTTGACCAACTCATGAATAACCAAAACCTGGAATGTGAAACCTGGGTATATTAAGGGATGACTGTGTCTGTGTGTGTCTGTGTGCCCACCCACTACTGAAGGAAGCTAGAAGATTCTTTGTTAAAGATAAAGTGAATGGTGGGTTGGAGAACGACCTAAATGGTGATAAAACTAGTACAGATAGAGATAGTTGAGTCCCATTTGCCTGTAGAGTCCACAGGATTCTGAAAAAGAGCAAGAAGATGAACTTTGGGTAGTGAAGGAGAAAACAGATGTCCATCTGGGGAATAACCCTGGTAACTTGTCCTTGAAAACAGCCTTAAACTTCAGTCATGGATGACAAGGATGTCCATGGAATCTATGTAGAATCTTGAGTGAATGGGGAGATGATAAGGGAAGGTCTGATCGGCCACATTCTAGAGGGCACTAAAATGATATCTATGATGAGCTACTAAACAATACTAGATAAAGTATTGGGTTCAGGAAATTCTGTAAGTCTTGTGTAGGAAAGATGAACAAGGATGGTGGGAAGATGAAATGGAAGATCATATCAAACCATGTGGGCATATCTGTGTTTGTCATGGTGCAGACAGATGGAGTGACCTTATTAGATATTCAGGAATGGAGCCCTTCTCACACTGAAGACAACTCAGTCCAAATTTGAATTCCTTTAATTCTCAGGTAAAATCTCATTTTTTTACAAGAAGATTTTCCTAATTCCTTTTGGTTATAATGACTACCCTTTCTTAATTATTCCTATCCATTGTGTATATAGCTTGTTTATTTATATTTGTTTGCATGCTGTCTTTCCCTTTAGATTGTGAGTTCCTTAAGGGCAGGGATTGTCTTTTGTCTCTTTTTGAATCCCCAGTGATTATTACTAAGTGCCTGGCACATAGTAGGTACTTAATAAATGTCAATTGACTGATTAACTAGTCAGTCAATGAACAAACATTTAATTAAGCTCTTACTATGTACCAGGTGCTGTAAAGACCTGTTTAGCTCCATGCTGCCCTATAAAAGGCCAGGTAGAGAATAATACAAGTAAGAGGAGTGACAGCTAGTGCATTTCCAAGTATTGCTTAGCTAGGTGGGGTTGGGGGAGGGGAGACTAACAAGGCCAGTGACATTATAGGTAGATACCACGCAATATAGACAAGAGCTTCCCAATGCTACAGGCTTCACCCATGAAATGTCAATTGACCAACCATAGCCCAGACAGGTACGCCCCAACTGCAGCTCTGATCCCGTCATGGGCTCTAATCTTTTCCGCTGTGTGATTGTTTGTCTCCTCAGAGTAATTGAGTCTGGTCCAATGAGAGAAAATCCCTGACCTTCACGTGCTAGGACCCACTTTGAAAGATTTTCCTTATGGTTTAATGTTAATCTCCTTCCTTCTGTCTCCTTCTATCACAGATTTCACAGACAAAAAAAAGTTACCCAAACTCCCAAATATTTGGTTGCAGTGGCCAGGCAGCCTATGATACTAAGATGTGAGCAGGATTAGGAAGAAGACAATATGTATTGGTACCAACAGGAAATGGGGCAAGAACCAAAGTTAATGTTATTCCATCATAACAAGTATATGGCATTGATAAACAACACTCCTGACAACTTCTGTGGCAGTAGACCAAGTAATTCCTCTGTTACCTTGACATCACATCTGTAGGTTTGGGGACTCAGCTACATATATCTGTGTCCGTGGCAGTGTAACATGGCACTGTGGAATTACGTATTCTCTTGGCACAAACCTTATGCATCCCCAACAACCAACTTTTACTCTTAGGGACCTTTTATGTAGCTTTTAAGAAGTTCAACCTATCTGCAGGGCAGATTTGTGGCTGCAGCTGCTAGAGTGGGAGAAAGAGAGAGAGAGAGAGAGAGAGAAAGAGAGAGAGAGAGAGAGAGAGAGAGAGAGAGAGAGAGAGAGAGAGAGAGAGAGAGAGAGAGAATAGACATTAATCCCATAAACCCTTAATGAATTGGCATGAGCAAGGATCGACACATAGTAGCTACTCAATACATGATTATTCCCTCCCTGCAAAGAAGAGTTTTTTTCCTAAGGATGTAGAAGACATGGTCTCATTTGTAGGCAGCAAGGACAAAACCAGTAGATGGGAAAGACTGAGGTTAGAGAGAGAAAGAGGTGGGGGAAGATTGAGGAGGCAATTTTGTGTAGTAGATGGAAGGGGATAACATCATGTTCCTGCTCAACTATTAGAGCCTGAGTTTATAGTTTTTAACCAGTTTAGAGTTTAGAGTGCCAATTCTATTTCACTTCTGAGAAATAGCACCAGCCATTTCCAAGGGAGTCCCCAGTCTCCACAAATGGATTCTTAATCAATTTGAATCGATTACTATAGCATGGATGTATTAGACACAGATTTCTTCAGATCTTAAGAAACAATTGAACTGTCAATACAAGTTTCAAAGCTTTTGCAGCAGAATGTTTTCAGAATATGTTCTCTGCTTTGAATGAAGGCAAACATCTCTCTCTTTGGTCAGGGCAACTTTCATTTATGATGCTCCTGAGCCAGAGGACTTTCATGTTTTTGTTTTTTAAACTCCATTCTGTGCATTTGAATTCTTACCAAGGACAGCTTAAGTTTCATTGTTGTTGTTTAACTTTCAGTTGTATAGCATTTTCTGATCCTTCCTTTTCCCCATTTTTATTGGGCCTGCATTGTGATAAAGGAAATTTCCAATGAGAAAACTTTCTGCCGATTCAAATTAGCACCTGACATGCATTTCATAGTTGTAGCAGATTGTTTGGGGACACTAAAAGATGAAATACCTTGTGAAGGGCCGGACGAGTAGCATGTGTCAGAGGCTAGATGTGAACCCAAGGCTTCCTGACTCCCAAGACTGCCTCCCTAGCCACTAAACACCTGGCCTTTCTTTTCCCCCCTGTAGCCAAGAAAATGTGTTTTGTTTTTGGCTTTCCCTGCCAGCCTCCGCTTATCTTGAGTTTTAGTGACATTACTCTGTACAAGGTCCAAAGATTTCCCCATTGCTTTAAAGTAGATTATTTCTTCAGGAAGCTTCAGTCTTCGTAAATTATTAAGAAAAGAGGTATGGAACCTCTCCTCACTCCTTTGCCCAAGGGTGTGTTTTTGGGGAGTGGTGGGGTAAAACATTGTATAATGTCACATTTTTGCATGTGTTTTGCGTGTTCAGTTTTACTGATTTTTTTCCCTTCTTTTTTTATTTTTGTTTTCAAAAGAAAATTCTTTGTTATAAGAAGGCTCTCTGGGAGCAGGAAGGAAGAGAATATGGAGGGAAATTTAGCTGTCAATAGATATCCACAATAGGCTTTGCATATTGTCCTGAGTATTTGTACAAAGAAGCTAAGTGGCGCAGTGGATAGAGTATCAAGCCTGGGGTCAGGAAGATCATTTTCCTGAGTTCAAATCTAGCCTCAGACACTTTCTAGCTTTGTGACCCTGGGCAAGTCACTTAACCATGTTTGCCTCAGTTTCCTCATCTGTAAAATGATCTGGACAGAGAAATGGCAAACCATTGGGGACACTAAACTAGTGTTTTTGTTAAGAAGACACCAAATAGGCTCATGAAGAGTGGGACACAACTAAACAACAACAACAAATTTGTATAAAAATGAAATGAGTCATCCGGATAAAAAGTCAGCCATGAAACAAATCTATGTTCAAAGATCTAAAACTAGATGGGACCTCAGAAGGATGGAAGGAAACATGTATTCATTAAGTGCTCACTAGTGCCAGGCACCTTCAAATACAAGCAAAAGAAAACTTGCCCCTGACCTCCAAGAGCTTATGTTCTAATGGTAAAAGACAAGATACGAAAGGAAGCTAAGAAGGTGGGAGGGAGGAGGGATGGTTTATCTAGAAGCCAGGAACAGGACTCAAAGAACAAGGAAGACTACACAAATCCCTCCACAAAATGAAGGCTTAAGAAGGAACCTATTGGAGGCTTTATTAAATAGACTGCAGATTTCACTCAATCCAACGCCTCATTTTACAGATGAGGAAGCTAAAGCCTAGGAAAACTAAGTGACTTGTCCAAGGCCATTTAGAGAGAAAACATCAAGGGTTTGAACCCATGTCCTCTGATCCCAGGGGCAGTACTCTATATGGTACGATACTCTCTCTGACTTGTTTGCTGAGTGTGTCCATTAAATGCAACCACATACATCCATGGTTGATTGAGGGGACTGCTCCCATTCATATCTTGAATGTTTCACCCTTGCTCTGAGTAGTAAGCAAATCCCTCCCTGTGTACTGAGGTGGAGAAAGACAAGCCACACCTAACGTGCAGAAGGAACTCAAGAGTCCTCAGTCCCACAGGCGCTCTACCCTAACAAACCAGAAACCTGGCCTTCAGAGATGTCTCACTCCTGCCCTGATGCCATCGTGGAAACCAGACTTCTCAGCTGTGTGGCCATTTGCCTCTTGGGAGCAGGTAAGTGCTCAGCCCAGAAGAAGGGATCAGGCCTGAGTTTTGGACCTTCCTCTTTTGGCTGCAATGTCAGATTCCCTCTTGCACTCAGCCTCCTAGCTTCTCTTTCTCCCCTCACAGGTTTGACAGATGGCATCGTTCTCCAGACCCCAAGATACTTGGTCACAGACACAGGACAAGCAGTGGCACTGAGGTGTGACCAGGACAAGAATTATGATTATATGTACTGGTACCAACAGAAACCAGGACAAGAGCCAAAGCAACTTCTCTACTACTTTAAGTTGTCAGATATGAAAAAAGAAGAGGGTATCTCTTATAACTTCCAAGCCAACCGGACAAACATTAACCTCTGTTACCTTAGTATCAGTTCCCTGAGTTTGGGCGATTCAGCTATATACCTCTGTGCTATCAGCATGCACAGTGCTATAGAGTCACCTCCTTTTTGGGCTTAAACTCCACTCTTAATCCATGCCCAACAACTCAGTCTTGTAAGGAGCCTTATCTATGCTGCTTGGATAGGAAGTTGGTTTGTGGTTACAGTAGCCTTCTTTGTAGAAAGAAGTTGTGCATTAACCCCTAAAAGCATGGGTGAGTCATTCAGAGCATATTTAATAGAGGACCAGGCATTGATCCAAAAGTGACTATTGGTGAGGTCAGTTTAAGCTTTGGTATCCATGAGTATAGTGATCGAGAATTGCTGGAGGTCTGAGCCGGGCAGCTAGGTGGTGCAATGGATAGAGTGTCAGGCCTGGAGTCAGGAAAACTCATCTCCCTGAGTTCAAATCTGGCCCCAGGCACTTATTAGCTCTGTGACCCTGGGCAAATGACTTAACTTTTTGCCCCAGTGTTCTCATTTGTAAAATGAGCTGGAGAAGGAAATGGCAAACCACTCAGTATCTTTGTCAAAAACACAAAACAAAACAAACAAACAAAAAACACAACACAAATGAGATTAGGAAGAGTTGGACATGACTGAAAAATGACTGAACAAGTTGGGTAGACAGTAAAGATCGGGTAAAAGTGCTAAGGGATGGTCAGAATATGATATCCAATCAAGCAAAACAGGAGGGCAGAGCTTGTTAATCTCAGAACTACAGAACATCAGAGACAAAAGAGCCCTATCAGATCGTAAAATCATAGATTTAGAGCTGTGTAGGACCTTAAGTCATCCACCTATTGACAACAGTTCCATTTACAAATATGAATACAAATGTGAAGCCCCAAAAGATACTACAATGTCTAAGATCACAAATAAGCTATTTAGTGGCATGACTATGGTGAGGACCTACATGTTCCTATTTCCAATGCAGAGGAAACTTTCCATTCAACCCATTTGGAAAAAAGAGTTAAAAAGATGAGTGGGGCAGGGACTGAAGATGAGGGAAGCAAAGTTGTAGTTTATCTCTGCAAAGAAAGCCAGGGAAGAGAAGTGCATGCCTTAGAGGAAGAACATGGAGGAAAATGTTTCTCAGTTAAGCCATTTCAGGCAACTGTAGGAAGAGCCCTCTCCCTTTTGTACAATGCTCTGTATACAAGGTTGTAAGGAATATGGAGAAGGGAAAGGCAAGGAAATAATGGTCAGGAAAGGAAGACTGGTATGGAGATGGAGAGGCTGGTTGGGACCAAATTTGAGAGCAGATAACTGCCAGTTATGGAGTTTAAAGCTTATTCTCCTAGGCACTGGAAAGCTACTAAAATATTTATTAGCATAGAAATGGGGAGGGGTATGCCTCCAGGAAAGGAACATTTCAGACAGGATGAGAAGAAATCAAGCCTATAATATCAGTCTATTTCCCTACCAAACGCAAGTACCAGTAAGAGTCCTTATAATTTGTGTTTTAACTGGTAAAAGATCTCTCCTCCATTTTCCTGTGAGAATCAGAGCATCTAAACAGACATGGCAGTCTGTAGGAAATGTCATGTCACAGAGAGACACAACCAATCACAGACTAGGAAGCCTCAGATAGTAGCTATACTCCAGAGACTGGCAGATGCTTCACTCCTTTCTTGTCACTACTATGGATACCATACTCTTCTGGTGTATGGCCATTTGTCTCCTGGGGGTAGGTGAGTCTTGGGCACAACCGGGAAATTCTTGTCTTGGACTTGCCAAACTTGGCTTCAAGGTGAAGTCTACAACTTACTCCTTACTCCACAGATGCTGGAGTCTTCCAGACCCCAAGAAGCCTGGTCACAGAGAGGAAAAAAAATGTGGTGCTGAAATGTGACCCAATCAAAGGACATAATTATGTTTACTGGTATCAACAGCTCCCAGGACAAGAATTGACATTGCTGGAATATCGTGACAATAATCAAGTCATTCATAGTTCAGGAATGTCCAAGCCCCTATTCTCTGCTGACTGGCCCAGGGGCTCACCATGCAGCCTGAAAATCCAACCTGTGGAATTAGAGGATTGAGCCCTATATTTCTGTGCCAGAAGCTTAACCACAGTGCTGCAAACTAACCCCTCTCTATGCATAAATATTCCCAGCTTTGGGAAACAGAAAACCATGGACTGGGTATGTGGATGGGGATGAAACATTAAGAAAAAATTCTAGGTGTCTAAACTAATCTTGGGCTACTGGGTCCTAGGGGAGATAGAGTGGGAAGTTGAGGAAATGAGAAGGTTTGGGATTCAGTAGAGTGTTAGGCACTTAATATTAGTGTTAGCGGAACAGCTAGGTGGTGAAGTGGATAGAGTTTTGAGCCTGGAGTCAGGAAGAGTCATCTTCCTGAGTTCAAATCTGGCCCTAGAAACTTACTAGCTGTGGGACCCTGGACAAGTCACTTAACCCTGTTTACTTCAGTTTCCTCATCTATAAAATAAACTGGAAAAGGTAAACAACTCCATTATCTTTACCAAGAAAACCTGATACAAGGTCATGAAGAGTTGAACATGACTAATTGCCTAAACACCACCACCACCAATAACAATTATTATGATAAGGGAATCAATATTGCGGTTCAAATAAAAATGAATGCTTACTACATGTGACCTTGAAGTCTTTTAGACTCTCTGAGATGTGGTTTCATTCTGTAAAATAAGGAGGTTCAGCTAGATGACCTTTGTGGTCTGTTTAACTGTAAGAGCCATCTGCAAACAACAGGAAAGGGCAGGACCAGTGACAATGCCTGTAATTAGCATGTGTGCATCAAGGATTACACACTTTTTACATTGATGGAGAAAGCCACAGATTTTTTCACCCTCAAATGCCTGAAAGCATGACATCCAAGCAAGCAGATGCTTCTCTTTTGCTTCTATTGGCCATTGTGAAGGGCTCCCCCCTCCCCCCATAATTCTGGGTTGGGGGCACAGAACACAGAGCCAGCTCCCTGGCTTGATCCCTTCAGTGACTTATTAGTTTCTTTCTCCACATGGGGGCAGTAAAAATTTTTAAACGAATTGTCTCCCTCTATCAAAACCCTTACATTTCTGTGTTTTACAACTCATGTACTATTTAGAGCTAGAAGAAACATCAGAGACCATCTAGTACAACTCTTTAATTTTATGGATGAGGAAATTGAAGCCTTGAGATCTAGTGACTACAGCCCCTTGCTTCCAAATAGTCTTCTCTATGCTATTCAAGATGGGCATTTTGTGTATCTCATTCTCACCATCAGAGTCTGGCTGCTCAATTATTTCTCTGTCAAGCCATCCCACCTTCTGTAGAGTCCAAAACATTTTCATTTCAGCTGAAGTCTACTTCCTCCAAGCTTAGTCTTTAATAAAGATACCTCTTTGTTAGGCAGATTCTCCTGAACTGTTTGCTAACAAGTAAAAAAAGACAAAAGATTCCTTATTATTCTTCCTCCTAATTCTACCTATGGGCTGGCATTGCTCTGAGTTCTGGAATTTCATATAATTTTTTGTCAATCAATCGGTAAGCATTTGTTGCAGTCACTATGCTAAGTTCTGGAGATAAAAATACAAGAATGATATATTTAAATGCAAGGATCTTACATACGATCAGAAGAGACAAACTAAATTAATACAAGGTTAATTCTCTGATTGCAGAGAGGGCACTAAGTAACTTGGGGGAATCATCTGAAAACTTCAGGGGCATATGGCAACTGTCTTTAAGTATTTGAGAGGATGTCATATAGAAAGATTATATGTGCATTTGCTTGCCATAGAAAGGAGGAGCAATGGATGGAAATTGAAGAGATGCAAATCGATCGCCGTGGGGTGGTGGAAAGGGTAGGCTTCAAATACTGTTACAAGCCATCTGACACTGGCAAAGGTACTTTCTCGCTCTGGGCCTGAGTTTCCTCTCCTGTAAAAGGGGTGGTGGTGGTGGTAGTCTTGGATTAGGTGATCTTGAAGGTATATTTAGGGTTTAAATCCCTTTATCTCCTTGAGTGTGCTCCTAACACTGGTTATGGCAGAGAGGCAGAGATTGGAGGCACACCCAGAAGCTTTCTGTCCTGTAAGTAAATATGTGATGATGCTGAGGACAGCAACACAAATAAATAAATAAATAAATAGATAAAGAAATAAATAAATGAATGAATAAATGAATGAATAAATAAATAAATAAATACAGAGGGATTTAGAAAGGCAGTATCAACAGAATGAATCAGGAAGAGCCAGGCACTGTGCTAAGGGCTGGACAGGCTCTCAAAGGAGATGGAGTGAGTTGAGCCCTGTTGAAGTGTTTATGACTCTTTACATATTCATACGCTCACAGATCCCAGAGGCTGATAACGTTTGTGTTTGCAGAGGGACTGAAGTTTCCCTACCTTGTTCCATCAAGTGTGCATGCTCTTCTCTGGAGGTGTTTATAAGATGGTGAATGTTGACGCAGACAGTGACATCAAAGATAGATCATGCTTACTGAGGCCAGGTGATCTCAGATCTTTACTTCCAGATACCAGAGCCCTGAGCTGGTAAGATGATCCATTCCTGCCTCGTCCCTGACATGGACATGAGATTCCTTCACTGGTTTTCCATTTTTCTACTAGGAGCGGGTAAGGTATGAGGCCACTGGAAATCCTATGCTTAGGCTTTCTGTTGGCTTTCCTTTCCCTGACTCAATGCTTCTATCTCATTTTCACGCAGGGTTTACAGATGCTGGCGTCATCCAGGTCCCGAAACAGCTTATCACAGAAACAAGAAGGACAGTGACACTGACGTGTCACCCCATTTCTACACATGTTAGCCTTTACTGGTACCGACAGAACAAAGGGGAGAGAATAGAGTCGCTGGTATACTTCCAGAACAATCGGCCTTTGGATGACACTGGATTGCCAAAAGATCGGTTCTCCGCTGAATGGCCTGAAAAATCACCGTCAACCCTGAAGATCCAGACCACAGAGCTCAGGGACTCTGCTTTCTATCTCTGTGCTAGCAGCCCAACCACAGCACTGCACAGTCATCTCCTCTCTGCACACAAATCCTCTTTCTTTTCCCTGAGCAGGGTGCCCCCCAGTTCCTCCCTCCCTGGGAGAGGAAGTGGGGTTGTAGCTTCAGCTGTCCCCCAGCCTCTTGCAGAGGGTGGTAGAGCATTAACTCTTAAAGAGTTTCCTCATCTGTAAAATGAGGTGGACTATTTGTTACATGGCAACCAAGGTGCCTACTGGCTCTAAATCTCTGATCTCATGAAGCCTTTGTATCCTCCTCCACAAAAGGAACAATGAGCTCTTAGGTGCTGAGATTGTGAGTTACCTTGTCAAGGGTGGCATAGCCAACTCCCGGTACTTATTAACCCCCAAAGGCTTAGGCCTTTCTATTTGTGATTAGGATTTATGAACATCCTCTCCTGTATCCTCTCCCTCTCCACCCCTCCCCCTCTCTCCCAACCTCTTTACACAAAGTTATTCATGACACATTCTTAGGTCAGTCTTCCAGAGGCTACTAAATAAATGTCTATCACCACATCCAGAGCCATAATTAGGGAGGGGTGACTCTATCTCTGAGCCAGTAAGGGATATTCAGAAGATGACTGAAAACATTGCCCAGGGTTTGCCACCTAGTCTATCTGTGTCATTGGCAACATAAGAACTCACTCCTCTTTAGCAGTTAAGGAACCTGGTTAGGTTTCATCCTCCTCATGGACAAACCTCAGTTAAGCCTACAACCTCCTCCAACTCCTCTCCCAGCCACTGCTACTTGCCCTAGATGCAATAAAAATTCTGACTATGGATTATTAACTAGGATTATTCAATTAACAAATGATAATTTAATGCTTGCTATGAACAAGGGACTCTGCTGGGTATTCAAATGCCACAAATGACTAGAGTAGGAATAATGGAAGATAGAAAGGCAGCTGTGGGGCACAGTGGATACAGAGTGTTGGACCTAGTGTCAGGAAGACCTGAGTTCAAATCTAGTCTCAGACACTAACTGGCTATGTAACTCTGGGCAAGTCACTTAGCCTTTATCTGACTCAGTTTCCTTGCTTGTAAAATGAGGATCATGACAGCATCTACCACCCGGAGTTGCTGTGTTGATAAAATAACATAGTATTTGTAAAGTACTTTGCAAACCTTAGAGTGCCATGTAAGTGCTAGCATATAATGAATCCAAATTCTCTCTCTCTCTCTCTCTCTCTCTCTCTCTCTCTCTCTCTCTAGCTAGGAAGAGTTCTCTAACAGAGGTATTATTATCTCCTGGACACTGGGACATTATGACATTATGATAATCAATAAATCCTTACATTGTAAACTGATTACACTGATTGTGTTTATGCAATCAATAAACCCTTGCACTGGGAATAGACCAAGAAAAAAAACAGCTTCTGTCCTCAAGGACCTTATATTATAAAAATGTGAAAAAGCATGACATATTTATATTGGACTTTGTGGTAACAAAAAGATTCATAAATACTATGTGCCATTAGATTGCCACAACAATTCAAAGAGATATGTAGTATTTGAAGAAGGGAAAGTGATTCTGGATTTGTGGAGAAAATACTGACCTTCCTGACCCTTAATAGCTGCGATAAGGGCAAGAGTTGGTATCAGCTGTTGTAACAGCAACGCTAAGTGAAGTGATGCAGAATTCCAGCAGAGGGCAGAAGAGAGCTTCTTTAGCATTCTCTCCACGGAGAGAAAAAGATCTGGCATTTCAGCTGACCCTCAGTTTCTCCTTTGAGGAAAGAGTGCAGTCAGTTCCAGAAGATGCTGAGTCTTCTATTGCTTCTAGGACCCAGTATGTGCCTAGAAGTCCTGGGGAGTTAGGGGAGAACTCATGATGGTGTAAAGCACATGCTCTGTATGAGAGACAGCGTATTGAGGGAGGGGGATTGTGTGGTAAGGGAGATTTGGATGAGAGATAAATGGGGACTGAAGGATAATAGAGAAAAAAGAAGGATAGTGAAGAGAAAAAAATCCCATCAAGGATATTTGTCTGACTGCTAGCTTAGCTGCTCCCACTAATTGATGTTGTTCTTTACCTCTCCAGGTTCTGGGCTTGGTGCTCTCATCTCTCAGCAACCAAGTAGAGCCATCTGGAAGAAGGGATCTTCTGCACTGATCCACTGTCATCAGATTGATAGCCAATTAACCTTCATGTACTGGTATCGTCAGCTTCCTCAACAGAGCTTGGTACTGATGGCTACTGCGAATCAGGGCACCCCAAGCAACTATGAGGAGGGTTTTAATAAGGACAAGTTCCCCATCAGTCGTCCAGATACAAAATCCTCTACTCTGGAAGTAATTGATTTGGGTCCCAAAGACAGTGGCATTTATTTCTGCAGTGCCAGTGACACAGAATGTGACTTGAATCAGAGACCAGAACAAGAACCATTCCTTTTTCTCTTTCTCACAGCTGGCCTATGTGGGGGCCCTGAAGAAGGTAGCAAACTGAAGTTTTGGCTAAGACAGAGTATACTGGAGAATTATCAGATGAGGTGGGGTAGGTGATCTTAAATCATCTAATGAAAAGAGAAACAGGCAGGGTAACATATTGCAAGAGACTCTTGGAAAGACCATGGAGGACTTCTTGGGATCTGACATTAAATATACCTTCCAGGAGAAGGCTAAGAAACAAACACTATACAATTCCTCAAGAGATACATGGTAAAAAGATATGAATGATTTCCAAAAGAATAATTGCAACCTAACAGGAGCCTTATGAAATATTTCTCTAATTCTATAATAATAAAATTAATGCAAAATTAAACAACTCTAAGATTCTTTCTCATGCTCAGCAAATGAGCAAAGAAGACAAAAGGCAGAGTAGTGTTAGAGGGGGCTGTAAGAATACAGAAGCATGAATGTTGATTGAGCTGTAAATTAGTCTATTTTTCTAGAAAATAATTTTTAATTTTGTGAGAAAAGTTGAGAAAGTCATCATATACTCATATAGAGATCCACTACAGTATACATACTCCCAAGGAAGACAAAGACAGAGCTGACAGTTACATATATATTTAAATACTCACAGCACAACATATATTAGCACAAAAACCTGAAGCCAAGTGATTATCCCTCAACCAGGAAATGGCTAATGGAATATTATAGCAGCATAAGAAACTGAGGAATTCCAAGAAATACACTTAGATGAGCTGATGAACAGTAAAGTAAACAGAACCAGGAAAATAATATAGAGAGTAAAATAATGTAAGTGAAAAGAGCACTAAGATGAAGTTGGCTCTGAGTAATTACAATGATCAGTGTTGGCCCTGATGTACAAATAATGAAAGACATTTTAAGAGATTTAGGGGGACTCTAGGTACAGAATGGTGTATACATGGTCATGAGTCATCTCACTGTTAGTTGGTTTTGGTGGACTTTTGCTATTCCTGATTTTACAAAGGGCATAGGCTTTCTAGGTGTGTGTGTGTGTGTGTGTGTGTGTGTGTGTGTGTGTGTGTGTGTGTGTGTGTGTGTGTGTGTAAAGGGAGAACACCTCTACCTACCCTGCTTGGCTGTGATAGATGGTTACGTTGGACTGAGTAGAGGATTTAAAAAAAAACACAATGCTGAAAGTACTCAGGAAAAAAGGGGTTGGTTGAGGGATTTCCATTATAGATGAGATAGGAAGGTCTATCTTAGACATAGGAAGAACTGAGAGTACTGGTAGAATGGTTAGCTTTCTCACCCTATAAAAATGGAAGAAAGGAGGATGATATACATGAGGGATTAAGAAAATAAAAGAGATTAAGGCAACCCAGACCAAATGGTCTTAATCTTAGTAAAATATAAAGTGAGTTAATCTTCTAAGAATGAAGGCTAGGAGTGGATAGAGCTGAGGCTTGAATAAAGAATTTAGAGGAGCAGTCTTTTTTTTTTTTTAAGTGTTTTGACATCTTTCTTTAGTCAATAAACATTTACTATGTGCCCATTATGTGTCAGGCACTTTGCTAATCCCTTGGAATACAAAGATAAGGGGGGAAAATAATTCTTCCCTTCAAGGAGTTCACAGTCTAATGAGGGGAGACAACATGAAAACACCTATATACGAATGATAAATAAATAAATGGAATAAATGGGAGATAATCACAGAGATAAGAAAGAATCAGATAAGGCTTCTTTTAGAATGCTGGTTTTAATTGCTACTTGAAGGAATCAAGGAGGTGGAAGTAAGGAGGAAGAATATGCCAGTCATAGGGGACAGCCAGCGAAAATTCAGGGAGTTGGGAGATGGGAGTGTCTTGCATGAAAAATAGCAAGGAGACCGCTTGTGGGAAGTCAAGTCAAGGCATTTATGAATATATATGTGCCAGGCACACTACTGAACACTGGATGGCAGCATGTGAAGGGGGTAAGATGCAAGAATCCTGGAAAGGTAGAAATGGATCAGTTTCTAAAGGGCTTTAAAAACCAAACAGAGGAGTTTACATTCAATGTTGGAGGTAATAGAGAGCCATTGGAGTTTATCAAATGAGCAGATGATGTGGTCAGAGCTGTGCTTTGAGAAGATTGCTTTGGTAGCTGAGTGGTCAATGGATTGTAGCTAAGAGATTTAAGGCTCGGAGGCCAATCAAAAGACTACTGCATTTCAGGTATGAGATGAGAAAGGCCTGCTGGAGACTAGAAGCAGTGTCAGATGAGAGAAGGGGGACAAGGGAGAGATGTTGCAAAAGGTAAAATCAACAGGTCTGGGGAGGAGCAGTCTTGAGGAATATAATGAAAAATCAATGAAGTTAATAAAAAGATATTCATAAAGCAATGCAGATCCAGATAGCATAAATGTATAGCGCACTCAGGAAGCACTATTTCTTCCAACAGAGTTTGGCAGCCCAGAGTTAGGAACAGAGGAAAGAAGTTTAGAGGAACCTGGATTAAAGGTTAGCAAAACAGGATTAACAGAAGGGTAGGGGTAAAGGGGATTCAAGGATGGTGGAAAGTAAATTATTGAAGTAGTTGATTGTAAAGCAAGATTGGACAAGGAGAAAAGTGAGGCAAGAAAGGAATAATTAGAGAATTAAAAGAAATCAAGAAGTCAAAAGTCCCCCCATGGTATATCCATAGTTTCTACTTCAACCACCACTTTTTCCTTGCTCAATTGCAATCAGGTCCAGAATAACTGTTGCCCTTCTTGCTTCCTTAACTTTTTAAAGGATGAAATTATCATGAAGATAAACCAAGATTGGTTTATGAGACTGCTTTTGGTAAACAGAAGGTTCCAGAAAAGCTTGCATATATTATGTCTCCATTCTTGTCTGGTGACATATGTCTTGGGCACTCATTAAATTCCTTCTTATGTCTAGATAGTCTGGTGTATATTCCCAAAACAATATTACTTCCATTTCTGCCTCCATTGATCTTCACATGAATGCTCTCCACCATGCTTTCTCTCTCCAACCTACAGTACCTGAATTTCCTCATATGAGTTCTTTCTAAGATGCAGTGCTATAGTCATTACCATGGAGGACTTCTACTTGGGGTGGGACCATGGAGGTAGGTGAATAGGTAGTGATAGATATGAAAAAAAGAGTATCAATAAATCATTTTTAATACTTAGAAGAAAAACATATCTTAACAGGCAAAAAAATGGCTTTATAGGTATCATGAAATGTGATGGGATGAGATGCATAACTAGTTTGTGACTGGAAGGATATATTTGATTCAAAGGGGATATAGTGCATTGCATTTTTTTTATTTTTAGAGAAATATGTCTAATAATGTAGCAAAACAACTCTATTTAGATACCTCTTCTGATTTCCAGCTTCCCATGAAGCACAGTTGGAGCAAGGGTTAGGTCCTAATGACTCTGCCATATTGGCCACTAGGAAGTACTATGCCTCTACTCAACTCCAGGGTTCTGTGAAGAAGAACAGGGAAATTATACTGGCTCTGCCTAAGCAAAAGCCAGATTTCACTCAACTGGACCTTGTATTCATATGGCTGCATTCAACTACTCAATTGAATGGAAAGATCCCTGAGAACTTTACACAAATAGTTCTCTGCTTCATAAGCAAGAATCAATGTCTACAACTGCTTCTCCTATCAGATCTAAATTTATTTGGGAACTAGTGAATAATTAAAAGTAATCATAGTAGATCCTTTATTTGGTAAATATTCCACTTCCTAAGATCATACACATTTTTTTTGGTAAAAAATGAGGAATTTGGAGAAACATGCAATGATTTTTACAAATTGATACAGTGCAAAAGTAAGCAGAACAAAAATAATATTATGCACAACTACCAAAATATAAATGAAATAATCAGTAAAAGGATTTTGATCTCTTGGTAATTGAAAAATGCAATAAAGATCTCAGAAATATTGAAATATCCCCTTTCAAGGCAGAAAAGTGGGGGACCACTATTATACTATTACCAAATTGTGTCAACCACTATGGAATGGGACAGACTATTGCCCAAATATTGTCAAATCTGGTCACTTTATTCAATGTTTTTGTTTAACTTTTTTTTTCTGTGATCTGTTTCACAGAAGAATGTTTAAACCAAAGCCAGGGAAGTTTTTTAAAATGGCTGTGACATAAAGAAAAAGGATGCCAAATAATCATTTAAAAAAAGAGACAATGAACTTGTTTTGCCTGGTGCCAGAAGAGAGAAGTAGGAACGCTGGGTGTAAGTTGCAAAAAATTGAATTTGGGCTTGAGGTATCTAAAAGAGGAATGTGCTGCCTTTGGAGGTCCCCCCTCACTGTAGACTTTCAAGAAAAATCTGAATAGCAACTTGTCACACACAGAGGAGATTTTTGTTGTTGTTCTGATATGGTTTGGACTAGATGACCTTTGATATACCCTCCAAGTCTTAGATTCCATGACTCTGTGATGCACTTAAGCCCATGGACAGTCCGAACAAATTTTCTTTTCTCTCTGAAAGGCCTTCACCTTCCACAGAGACTACATGCTCTGTCAGACTTATAGTACTACTCCAGTCTACCTCCCTCTTCCCTCCAACCAAGTGGAACTCTCTAAGCATTTCTAAAGGAAAACAACAGTAGCAACAACAGCATCCTCTTGATGTAATGAGAATTACTGTCTAGAGGACAAAGAGCCAACCTTGGAGCAGGGTTCGAGGGCCTCCATGTCTCTCCAAAACATACTGGTCATGTGATCCTTGACAAGCCACATAAACTTTTCTTGTTCTGCTGTTAGTTGCAAAGAAGGTGACAACCTATATTGGCAGAGTGTTTCATCCTAAAGTTCCTTATACCAATGAAATATCAGCTTCAGTTCCCATCCCTGTTCCTGTGGTGAACTCCACTTCTCCTGGGGACTTAAAAGTCCTCCAGATTTGTAGTGCTACCTTAGTGTCAAAAGTACTTGGGATCACTAGAGAGGTAACCCATTCCCCTTGATGTGTGCAATTCACGGAATTCCCAGAAAAAATAAAGGTCAAAGTCAAGGTCAAAATAAAAGTCTAGGTTTACTCCTTCCTAACATGACTTCACCTATCTGCCCCTCAGCTTTCACTGCCCTTATTTTTAGGAATCCAGCATTGCTTCAGAGTGTCTTCTTTGTGTCTAGAAGGCTTGGTCTCAAAAATCTTCCCTCATTCTGCTCCTCCCATTCTGCTAATTGTGGCTTGGGTACCCAGTATTCATGGATTGCCCCAGGATCTCCTTGTTGCTCCACTTTCCCTGTCTACTGCCATCTTTGAGGCGTCATCATCCTCTGCTCTCTTTGGCCCCCTTTGTTCCCAGATGCTTAGGGAAC